AAATATCACCTCACTGTACGTGCCGGGGTGTCACACACAAAAAACATACACACACACACGCGCGCGCGCGCGTGCAAACCAGTTGGGGTCCTGCAACAGGAACTTTCTGTCCAATGCCGCAGGCACCACCGAGTGCGACGACGGCGGCGATGGCGAGATTGTCGTGTGTATGGATCAGCAGGCGGCGGCGGCGGCGGCGGCGGGCAGTCGTGGTGTCCTGGCGCACACGGACTCTGGCCGCCGCCGCCTCTTACTGGCGCCGTGGTCGCGGGCCCTCAACTCAAGTACTGCTGTACCTGCCATACATGCTGGTGGCGGGGACGGTACAGACGCGGGGCTGGCGGGCATTAACACCGCCGGGTCCGCAACCCCCGATGCGGCGGCGGCAGCGGTGGGTGAGGACACCGGCAGGTGCGGTCGCAGCCGACGACAGGTTTCCCAGGGGCCCAGTCGTCGAAAAATGCTGCCAGGGCCGCTGTCCTTCCGAAGCCTGCAGAATGGCGTTATTGAAGGTGGCGGCAATGGCGGCGGCGGCAATGGCGACGGCGGCAATTGTGGCGACGGCAATGGCGGCGGCGGCAATGGCGACGACGGCAATGGCGGCGGCAGCAATTGCGGCGGCAACAATGGCGGCGACGGCAATGGCGGCGACGGCAATGGCGGCGGCGGCAATGGCGGCGGCGGCGGCGCCTCTTCCTCTTCCGTTGCGAAAGGTAGCCACCGCCAGGTCCTATTGCGTGCGGGGTCGCAACCGCAACTGCAGGGCGCGGTTGCCGTACTAGCGCAGCCAACTGCTGCAGCGCCGGTGGCGGTGGCTCCCGTTGGCGGTAGCAGATTGCAGTTTGGTAGCGCCGCCGCCACCACCACTGACGATAGCATAGTGGAGGAGCATGTGGTGGGGATTGTGGAGCTGGCGTCGTACGGCATCAACCCTGCGAGTGTACCGGCGTCTATGCGGGGCATGGTGGTGGCCGCGGCCATGCTGGCCTGCGGGAACAGAGCCAACCCGCAACTGACGGCGGCGGCGGCGACGACGATAATGGTCTCGGAGCGACGAAGCAGCAGCGAGCGGCGATCGAACAGCCGTTGTCAGCAACAGGCGTTTTTCCAGCTCCCAAACTACCACCATAACCACCATGACCATCACTTTGATAACCACCACCATCAAAACCACCAACGTTACAGCTACCATAATCATCTACAAAACCATCAGTACTCCCAACCAAGCCAAAGTCAAAGTGCCGTAAATAGTCAGCCACGGCAACAGCAGCCGCCGCCGCAGCAGCAGCACCTAGAGCAATACCAGGTACCGCGACAGCCAGCCGGAAGGTCTCCGCTTATTAGCGCGCCGCACGTCACCGGGCTGCATCAGAACGGCGGCGGCGGCGGTGGCAGCGGCGGTGGCGGTGGCAGCGGCGGTGGCGGTGGCGGTGGCGGTGGCGGTGGCGGTGGCGGTGGCGGTGGCGGTGGCGGTGGCGGTGGCGGTGGCGGTGGCGGTGGCGGTGGCGGTGGCAGCGGCGGTGGCGGTGGCGGTGGCGGTGGCGGTGGCGGTGGCGGTGGCGGTGGCGGTGGCGGTGGCGGTGGCGGTGGCGGTGGCGGTGGCGGTGGTGATGGCGGTGGCGATGGCGGTGGCGCCGCCGCCGCCGCACAGCAACGATCGCCACCATTAAGGTGAGTGAGTGTGGCGCTTGTTAGCCGTTCACCGTTGTACGGTTGTAGTTCCATCACAATGGCAGGCCGCAGTCCGACGTCTTCAGTGGGTTTACTGAGGGTTATGTGCCTGTGCGAAGTAGGGGCCTTAGGGGACTAGGAACCATCAGCTCCTCTCTCTGCCTGGCTGCATCTGTCGTCTCTTCCCGCCATTGGGCTCCGTTGCGCGGCATTTCCTCCTTTCCTACCTCCCTTTACCGAGCAGCCCTGTCTTTCCTCTCTTCGCCGGCCCGCGCGACCCCACACAATCGTCCCCCCACCCCACCCCAACCCCAACCCCCACCCTATTCACGCGCAGGAGGGGTCGCCTCCGCCGCCTGTCAACCGCCGTGTTGACCGACTCAGTGTCGCAAACCCTGCCCACCCTGCCGGAGCTGTGTATTCGCTGCCGTACAGGCGCCTTCCGCTGGTTATGGGCCGCGGAGCTGCACGTGGAGGATATAGGGATGTTCAGGTGTGTGTGTGTGTGTGTGGTGGGGGGGGGAGACGGGGAAGTTGGTCGGGGGGATTGAGGAGGGAAACGTGGGGGGATGGTTCCGTAAGGATAGTGGAGGTTAGAGCAGCCTAATAAACCCGGCTACTAATGAAATCGAAGTAAAGGAAAGTAAAGTTTCCCTTTGGGATTTGCCCATTTTTTCATTTAATTCATTTTTTCATTCATTTCATTTACTCATGCATTCATGCATTCATGTATTCTCATGTATTCTCATGTATTCTCATGTGTTCTCATGTATTCTCATGTATTCTCATGTATTCGTGTCACCTCACCACCGCAGGTTTAAGGGCGTCGCGGGCAGCCACCAGCTGGTGTCGGTGAGCACTGCCGCCACCCGGGAGCGGCGACCTGGTCCCCGGCTTCACACCGCCAAGGGCGAGCGAGTGGCGCCCGGAAGGGGACCTCTGTACCGGGTAGTGCTCAAGGTGGGGCTGTGCGGCTGTGGAGAGGGGACACAGGGGGAGTAACGTTGAGAGCTCGGGCTGCTGCTGCTGCTGCTGCTGCTGCTGCTGCTGCTGCTGCTGATGATGATGATGATGATGAAATTAGGGTGTTATGCAGGTCGCGATGCACCAAAAGCCGCTATCCACTCTTATATAATATCTAAAAGATCGATACAGACCCCGCAGATTCTTCCGCACCATCATTCGTAAGGAATCGTAGCCCCGACGTATTAAGCCAGGCACTCCCCCGTCCACCCAGCCTCACCTCACGCCGATTCCCTCTCTTCCCCCTGCCCTCAGGCGGCGGGACCCTCTCTGAGCAGCCCCATGCCTCCCATGACCGTGACCGCCACCAACTACATCGAGCTGTCGGATCCCACATTCCCCCAAACAAGCATGCGGACCTCCTCGCCAGCAGGGCAGGCCCCCGCCCCCTTCCCCGCCCCCTTCCCCGCCCCCGTCCCCGGCGACTCAGTTAAGACCGATGTGGCGCTGACTCAGCGACAGGATCCTGAGGTGGAGGTGGCGGCAGGGGAGGAGAGGGGGGAGGAGGGGAGGGGGTGCAGCCGTTATATAGAGGCAAGTCCGTCAGTCCTTTAGCTCTCTATCCCGGTACGGCCCGTACCAATGACGTATAGTCCGCCATTGAGAATCCGGTTGGGGGGAGGGATTAGGGACGTGGGCATATGCCCCTTGGAGGGCACATGGGTTGGGTTGTTTGTACTGCTGGATCGTTGGTTGGTTGGTTGGTTGGTTGGTTGGTAGTAACGGGTGGCTGGTTGGGGTACCTGGTTGCTGTGCCTGGGGGTCCTCCATAAACCACTTTATTGGCCGCTGTTGTTGCTCGTGTTGCCGCGGTTTCTACTGCTACTGCTGCGATTTTAGTGCATTGGGCTCATTGAGCATTTACATTGTGTTGGTTGTGTTGGTTGTGTTGTGTTGGGCTGGGCTTGGGTGGGTGGGTGGGTGGGAGGGTGTATTTGACGGCGGATTCGGACTTCGCATCTACCGTGGCTGTTCTTGTTGTGTTGCTGTGTGGGACAAGGGGTTCATATCCTCACCCGTGGCCACTACCCGGCGAACCCTGCCTGCCCCAGTATTTCGGGGCACCCTCATCCAGTCACCCTAGCCAACTTCTCAGTGGATCGCTCAGGTTCCGCACCCACCACCGGCATCCAACGGAATCTGCCAGATCGACGGCAGCTCAGCTCCATTCCTGGTCAGCTCGCAGGTTAACTTTATCCCAGGTCGCCACCGTCCATCGACTAGGGGCACTTTTTCCTTCCACCATTGGAAGAATTTCTGACCATGACCGGTCTCGATCCCGAAACCGGGGGGGCATCGGTATGTGCGTTGTTGCTGTTGTTGTTATTGCTGCTGCTGCTGTTGTTGTTGCTGTTGTTACTGTGATGTCATTGGCGGTTTATTACTCCTTTGCATGCTCTGTTCTGCTCCGGATGCTCGACTAACTAAATTCAGGTTGCAACGCATCGGTACCATCGGAGAATATAGATATTACATACATATGCATATGCATATACATGTGCATGTTTCCGTACGTGCATAGGTATACGTGTGTGTGTACGTGTACGTGTATGTGTATGTGTATGTGTATGTGTATGTGTATGTGTATGTGTATGTGTATGTGTATGTGTATGTGTATGTGTATGTGTATGTGTATGTGTATGTGTATGTGTATGTGTATGTGTATGTGTATGTGTATGTGTATGTGTATGTGTATGTGTATGTGTATGTGTATGTGTATGTGTATGTGTATGTGTATGTGTATGTGTATGTGTATGTGTATGTGTATGTGTATGTGTATGTGTATGTGTATGTGTATGTGTATGTGTATGTGTATGTGTATGTGTATGTGTATGTGTATGTGTATGTGTATGTGTATGTGTATGTGTATGTGTATGTGTATGTGTATGTGTATGTATGTACGTGCGTATGTGCGCGTGTACTTCGTGGCTCATGCGCTCTTTTGTGCACATGTGTGTAAATGGGCCTTTGGACGGTTGAGGATGGGGGGACATAACTTGTGAATTATACTCGTATGTATGTCGTACATCGTGTTATACCGTACAAGGACCAGGCTGCCATGTGCACTGCATGTCGTTACGACGTCATTACGTCAACAGACCTGCTCCTAAATATCTGCATGTGCATCTTTTATCTTTCCGTCTATAAGATAATTGCCCGGTGAAAAATAAAATGTACCGAAGTTGAAGTAGCAGCGGCCCGAGGGGACGGTGGAGAGCTGCCTGGCAATCGCCAGTTTTGTCGGATTTGGTTGTGTACGACTCCCGACGGTGGTGACGGTGGCGGCTACCGCGGCAATGTCTGTAGGGGTTGTGGGTGATAATATAATAGTTATTGTTCGATTTCATCCTTTGTTACGATGAAAAGTTTATATTGTGGTGAGTAGTATGTTGGGACACGGCGCCAGAGAAGGCGGCATGGTGAGCTGTAGGTAGCTACCCGACCCTGGCAGTGCATGCACTCATGCACATGCCAGGAATAAAAGGGGCGGGCAGCAGCAAGTAAAGTTCCGTACTTCAAGCTCAGGCAAGTACGGAGTGTTTAGGGGTGTAAGGGGACTTGCGCGGTGGGACATGGGTTTGGCTTGGAGGAAGCGGCGCGGAAGGAGGGGACGCGTCGTGCATACGGAGGTGGTTTGGTTAGTTAATCGTTGTGTCGAGTTTGTACTACGAAATCCGGCTTGCTATGGTGGATGGCTTTGAGTCGGCCTGAAACTGGTAGGACGCCGATGAGCTTTTTCTTCCTGCATGATATATTTTACTCCGGGATGGAGTACAGCGAAAAAATTCAGAAGCTGTGTGCAGGTGATGGTTAAGGTGAAGTGATTGAGACGAAGCCGGCTGGACAATTTTCGCCGTCAGTAAAATAGCAGCAGTAGCTGCCGTACGTGGTACTACACAGCATCACAAAATCCTGGTATATTAGTAAGTAAATTAACAGGCTAATCTTCAAGCGTTCCAAGGTAATTTTTTATTGTGGATTGTTCTTCACATGTAACATGATGTGGCTTTTGATACTTTTTTTGCCGAGCCAAAATCGCTTAGGGTTATCAAATGAATAGGATTAACTCAGCAGCGAGTATCATACCGGTAGAATGATTCTACCGGTGTTGCATTTCATCCTTATGTGAGCAGTGCTGGCCGATAGCCGAGGCTTCAATAGTTTTGGTTTCGGAGGATAGCTTGCAAGCTGCAATTGGTCGATTGCGTCCGTTATTACAGATTCAGGCCAGCGGCAATCTTAACCAGCTTAAACAACACCAAAGGAATGGAACAGCCGGCTCGTTATGAAGCAGCTGGATGCCACACCAAGGAAGGATTAGGTGCTGTAGTAGCTGGCCGCTGAAAAGGCCTCTCGAGATGCTGGTGATCGCGCTTCGCGCGTATTTGTAGAGCCGTACTGTGTACCAGCTACTACAGGTGCCGAGGAAATAACTGTCATGGCCGCAGCAGTAAAATCCATCAAGAGCACCACTCAGCGGTGCTGCTGTCGCTGCCGCCGCAGCTTCCGGGCTTGTGGCGGCCCTCGCGCGCCGTCTGACCCATCACTGTCTCCTAGGTGTCCTGGCCTCGTGCCGCCAGCAAACGTGGTGGAAGCTGAGAGGGACACTTGGCCAGAAGCCAGCAACCTGAAGGGGGGGTCGATGGTGGTGCTGGTAGTGGTGGTGGTGCGTGGTGGAACGCACCCTTGCGTGCAGCGGTATGCCGATATGATAACCCCCCGCATGCCCTGAAAAGATGTCGAAATGCCTTTTCCCCCCCCGCCTAATCCAACTAACCTCAAATCGTTCCGTAGTGGATCATGGTTCCGAATATGGCTTTTATTAGTTTGCTGTGAGGATCTCTGCCAATTAGCGCCTTTGTGAAGTTTTCGGTAGCTCTTGGGGCTCTTTACGGTTCGGATGTGGCTATGGGGCCCGGGGGATGGGGGGCGGGGGGATGTGATTATGGGCACGGCAGCTGACGGTTGGAAATTGTTGGATTATGCAGTTACCCCACGCCGTACAGAGCCTGACAGGCAATGACACAGAGGGATGGATCACAACAGCGGCTTTTTCGGCTAGATGTAAGATTTCCGCTGTACTGTAGGGATTTCGTTGGCATCCGTTGTGCAGTCTCGACAAAGATACCGCCCCTGCCAAACCGTTAGCACCAGCACCACAGATTGATTATCCTGATTTTATATCAATTGAACATAAAAAACGGAAACGTTGGACGCAAATGGCATGCGAGGTGCTGGGCTCCACGAAATGGCCCACCGTGCTGCGCTCGAGGGAGCTACATGAAAAGGTACTCTTCATTTCGGATGATTATGCGATGTATGGATTTGTCTCAGCTGTGGAGGATTCTGTAGAATTCCGACTGCCGTTCGCGCCAAATACTGTAGGTCAAGTCTGCCAAGGTCCTGTGCGTGGGCGCTGGCGGTATTGGTTGCGAGCTATTGAAGACCTTGGTTTGCACAGGATTCAGGAATATTGAAGTGGTGAGCACGTAGACGTCTTTTCAAATGTGCGACAGTGTCAGCTCCTAACCAAGGGCCTCGTTAAGCGAATCGTAATCCATGCGACAATCTAGCAATGGTAAACGCAGGACGTCTGTGGTCCTACCAGACCGCCCGCTCAAGCTACTGGGATGTCGCATGGGCGGCCCTTGGGTCGTGGGTGCTCTTAAAAGTTTCCCAAGATGCGCCTTTCCCCTATGACACAAGGAGTGCCCAAAAGATACAATCCTCCAACATGTGGTTGTCGTTCATGCTCGCAAGACCTTTCACTAAAGACACATGTCTCATACGGCCCGTGGCCCTGTCCGGTCTGTCTTTGGGAGGTTCAGAAAACATTTTTGGATCCGTAGCGCTTACCCCTAACCCTTTTTCGCCCCAAGCAACCAACTTCGAGGCGGCAACCTGACCAAAGCCAAGTCCTTCCGAAGCAATGCAGGATCCACCATGCACGTTTTGGGAAGCACTCTTGCCGAGCTGGCTCAATTGACCAGCAACCATGGTTATGGTCGTAGCTCTGGCTGGGCACGACCAGGCTGGACGGATCTCCCGCTGACCAGACGCGCCCTCCCCCCTTCCATTTGCAGCCCCTGCGCCTCCTCCCACGACATACATACCACATCCCTCCCCCATAATTGGAAACTCGCAAATTTCCTACTCTCCCATCCTACTCCACTCCCTCTTCGCGCCATGTCGAACCACTTCTGAATATGCCGGTTTTCCCCCCGCCCCGCCTCCTTATTGCCCCCCCTCCCTCCATTAATGGCCCCCTCCATTTCTCAGATTGATCTTGACACCATAGAGACCTCCAACCTGAACCGCCAGTTCCTGTTCCGCAAGCACCATGTGGGTCAGAGCAAAGCCAACACCGCAGCGCAGGTGGTCAAGGTGGGTGATGGTGGGTGCAACGGCACCCCCTCTGTTCAATATCGTGTCAATATTGTGTCAATAAATGTGTCAATGTCTACATACGCACATATGTACAGTTGAATGGAAGCGACCCCCCCTGCTGCTGCTGCTGCCGTTATTGCTGCTAATACTGCTGCTGCTGCTGCTGCGACGGCTTCTGCTTCAGGGTTTCTGTCCTGCAGCCTGCATCACTGCCCACCACTCGAATGTGAAAGAGGGCCGCTTCGATGTGGACTTCTTCCGAAGCTTCGATCTGGTGCTCAACGGTCTTGATAATCTGGAGGTGAGGCGGGCCGGCGGCGACAAGAGGGTGGTTACAAGAGGGGGTGGCTGGGGGGGTCATATCTGTTGGAATTACTAAAATGAACCGCTGGATGAGTTGGCTGGATGGTGTGGAAGTGGGTGTCCCAGGGAGGTGTCCGGGAAGCAGTGGGAGCGGGTGGGTTTACGACGGAGAGGGAGACAGGCTGGCAAGAGGATGTGGGGAGGTGCATTACGGTTTCCTCGCTGCGCTGCGCCGCATGTGTGTGTGTGTATGTGTGTGTGTGTATGTGTGTGTGTATGTGTGTGTATGTGTGTGTGTGTGTATGTGTGTGTGTGTGCCGGGTGTGTGTGTGTGTGGCCTTCATTAACCCAGGCATTACCGTATCTCCCTGCGGTACCCTTCATTGGACTCGGAAGCCCCTGGTAGCCCTTTGCGTCGTCATTTGCAACATCACGTCATTCCAGTTCCTTTCTCCGCCCATTACATCTTTCCCACCCCCTATCCATCACCGACTTGCGTATGTCACCCGCCCACATACATACATATATAAAGTACACATACACATACACGCACGGCCACAGGCACGTCGCCACGTGAACCGGCTGTGCCTTGCTGCGGAGCGCCCCCTCGTGGAGTCGGGAACTGCGGGCTACCTGGGCCAGGTGAGGGGTGAGCACATGTGCAGGTGTGTGTGCGTGTGTATGTATGTGTGTATGTGAGAAATCCCAACCTTCCCGACCGCCACCCCACCGAAATCAACCACGCTATCCGTACCCCCGACCGCGCCCCGGTCCGCGACACCTCGTTAATCCCATCGTCCATATCTCTCTCTCCCTCTCTTCCTTTCTCTCTTCCTTCTTTCTCTCTCCCTCTCTCTCTCACACACATTCACACACACATTCACACGCACTCATGTGCCATCCTCGCCAATTCCCCCATCGCAGCTCAGATCTTAAAAACGAAGATTTGAGAATTCCGCCACGTTCCTGGAGACTACCTGCCGAATGGAAAACTACTACTCATGTGCCATCTCCTCCCAATTCCCCAAGTTCCAAGTACCTGTCCGTGTCTCAGATCACTAACGCACACCACCCACACCACCCCACACACCACCCGCCAGGTGACTGTCCATCTCAAGGGCCGCACCGAGTGCTTCGAGTGCCAGCCCAAGCCCACCCCCAAGAGCTACCCCATCTGCACTCTGAGGAACACACCCGACCGACCCATACACACCATCGTGTGGGCCAAGGACCTGCTCTTCAACCGCCTGTTCGGTCGACCTGAGGCTGTTTCCGGTGACCGCTGGGGGGGGGACTGCGTGCGCGTGTGCGTGTGGGCTGTTGGCTAGGACAGGAGACTCCGCTTACGCCAATACTTGTTATATATACAGAGCTGGAGTTATGCGTCGAGTTGTTGTATACGTGTACATATTTTGTACATATATATGTGTATGTGTATATATGTGTGTGTGTGCTGCTTCCGAGGTGAGTGTGACTCTTTCTTGGTGGTGGTGGTTATGTGTCGGGCTAGGGGCATGAAGGGAGGCAGCTCGGGAGGAGGCACCCCTGCGGGGCTTTTATGGGGACTGACAACGTGGTGGACGGAGACATGGACGTAGACCTGCACACCAGGGAAAGAGGAGGGGGCGGAGGAGGGGAGGAGGTCATGTTTTCGCCCCCGTTGTGGTTCGTTGTTGGCACGCATTGTTCCACCACACACATGCACATACATGCGCCCATGTTTCTGTCGTACAGATTTGGACGACCAGGCTCAAAGGGAAGCCGGACAGCACCCGACGGAGGCGGCGACGGCGAGGGAGGCGGCGCCGGATGGGGCGGCGGCGGCGGCAGCAGCCGCTCAGCCGGCGGAGGACCCGTCGTTCTTCCTCCGCCGCGAAGGAGAAGGCTCCCTGGAGTATGCGGAGCGCGTGTTCCGGCGGGTGTACGACACCGACATCGAGCAGCTGTGCGGCGTCAAGGTGGGCCCTTGGGTGCGCTTGGAGGAGTGTGGTTGGCGGCCGGGGGCGGGGGAGGGAGGCGGGGGCCGGGGGGAGGACAGAGTCGATTTGGGTGTTGCGTAGTTATTAAAAGATTGGGTGATATCATTTGTCGGAGCCTTGGGCCTGCCTGCCCTGCCACGACCCATGGGTCACAATAATCATATACAGTTGGCAACCATCCTACGGTATGGCTTACCCATAGGAGCCGTTAAGGTAGCTAACCGGGTAAGGGAGCAAACCTGTCTCTACTATCGACATCCGCGTCCGTCCTTCCTTACGTCTTGTCGCGCACACATGTCGCCACAGGAGCTTTGGGAGAAGCGACCCCCACCCAGACCGCTCCGGCTTAGCCAGCTGCTCCCCGAGGCGGACAGAGCGGCCGTACGCGGCGCGCTGGATGCCGCCGTCGGGAGGGCGCAATCGGAGGGGCCGGGGCGCCAGGCCATCAGCGCATCGCGGGCGCTGGGTCTGAACAACGCCAGCCAGGTGGGGTGGGCCTCCTGCAAGCCATTGGGGGGCCATTGGGCCACGCGACCACACCATCACCACTAATAACTACATCACACCACCCTCAGCCGTCCTTTCCTTCTCCTCCCTCCTCTGAGCACCCGCTGCCTCTTTTCACACCACTTGCATGCCTCCATCACAGAAGTGGACTTCGGCCCAGAACGCCGCCGTACTGCTGCTGGCCATCGGGATGTACCACGAGCTGCGGAAAGATGAGGTGGGTGATGGTGTGTGTGTGAGGGAGAAGGAGAGAGTGAAGGGGTTGAGTGGAAGAGGGTAGGAAGCGGAGGAAGTTAGGTATGAAAGGCTTCTGTAATGTGTCTGCAGCGGGGGGGGGGGGGGGAGGCCGCGGTGAGAGAAGCTACAGTGGCCCCCTGCAGCGGAACACCCAGATTGCTCCTCAATTCCCCGCAAACCCTTCTGTGGCCCTCTCCTGTGCCCTCCCCCTCCCCTGCCTATCCTCAGCCTGTGGCCCGGAATCTCCTCTACCTCCTCCGCTCTCTCCTGCGCTGTCTAGCGCACTTTTCCCTGCATTATATTCTTCTCCTCTCGCCCCCTAGGCCCCCAGACCCCCAGCTCCCAGCAGCTTCACTCGCTCGTGGCTCGTCCTTTCCCCCCAGCTAACCCCCCTCCCCCTTTCCATCACTCCCTTCCTAGGTGGGCTCTGCCTCCTTCGACAAGGATGACGACCTCGCAGTGGACTTCGTGACGGCGGCCTCCAACTTGAGGAGCAGCTGCTACGGCATACCCGAACAGGTGAGCTGGCTGGCTGTCTGTCTGGCGGGGAAAGCGGCCGGCGGGGATGGATGCGTGATTATTGACCCCCGTGTCCTGACGGGGACGGCTGTGTCACCGCACACCGCAAACAAACGCATTGCGGGTCAGACCACTAAACAAAACACACACACATCGCAGTGCATCTTGTTCCACGTGTCTGGGCTACTCGGGGGAATTAGTACAGTGCGTAAAGGCTGTATGTCGGCAGTAAGCTGGCCTGCGTGTTCTGTGTGGAATGGGTGAGTCGTCGGCTCTGGGCCGGTGTCGCAGGGTGTGTTGGGGGGCTCGCGCGTTGTTGCGTACGTAGGGGGGAGGTGATGATGATGATGAGGAGGATGAGGAAGAGGAGGAGGGGGAGGTTTGTGGGGCAGCATGTGCCAGGATATCCCCATGTCCGCGTCCTCGTCCTCTCCCGAAAGAGGAGAAACCCACCCACCCACCCACCCACCCCGGTGTTTCCACCAGGCGAGTTTGCATTAGACTGCGTTGCCTATGCCGTCGTCTTGCATCGCGGCCCTCCTGCCGTCGTGCCCTACGTCTTTTGCCGTGTGTATGCCCGGATCTGCTAAACCCAACCTCAGTTCGCCATGCATGTGCTGCTCCCGCTGCATCCAGTCGTTGTTCGACGCCAAGGGCATGGCTGGCAACATCATTCACGCCATCGCCACAACGAACGCCATCATTTCCGGACTCATAGTCACGGAGGCACTAAAAGTCCTGGCGGGTGAGTGAGTGAGGGGCTGGTGGGTCGGGGTCCCGGGCGGCTGGCTGGCTGGCTGGCTGGCTGGCTGGCCGGCCCTGTGCTTGATGGTTTGGCCTGAATGATTGTGACTGTGTATGGGGGGATGAAGGGAAGTGAGGGGTGTTTCTGGTGGCGTTGTGGTTGCCGCCTATCGTACATTTCCGTACCGTCGTACCATCCACTGTGCCGAGTGCCGCCCCCAGTACTGCGCCCAGAACTGAGGTGCGCGCACACTCGCGGCCCGCAGGCTGCCTGGATGCCGTACGGAACACTTACTTGTACGAGTTCCCGACGGGGAAGCGGCTGCTGGTGGTTCAGCAACCCGACCCGCCGTGCAAGAGATGCATGGTGTGCGGCAAGGCGCAACTCACGCTGCGTCTCAACACCGAGGCAAGAGCTTACGGGGCGGAGGATAATTGCGAACAATAGTTCTCTGTCTGCCTTGCGATATAGCTTAGCTTCGGCGACGCTTCAATGCACAACCCCTGCCAGACGCCTTTCCCCTATTTCGCTGCTACATGTTGCATGGACTCGGTTGATGCTGCTGCTGTTGCTGTTGCTGCCGATGGTGAAGGTGGGAATAGTGGTGATGGTGGTGCAGATGAGGCCAACGATTGTTGCTGTGCTTTGCCGTTTCGTTGGCTGGTTGTTTACGTTTCCTGCCTCTTGCTACTGCCTGCCTGTCTCTGCTGCTACTGCTCCGGCTATTGCTGCTTCTGTTACGGCCAGTTACTGAAGCTGCCTCCCCCGGCCTCCCCCGCGGGCCATCCAGACCGCCACGCTGTCCTCGCTGCTGTCCGGAGTCATTAAGAAGCGACTGGCGGTCAACACACCCAACCTCTTGTCTGGGGGTTTCCTGTACGAGGAAGGTACGTGCGCTCTCGTGTGTGTGGATGTGGATGTGGATGTGTTTGGGAAGATGCGAAGTGTGTGAGAAGCAGCAGTCCTCGCCCAGCTAGTAAGGAGGGGCGGGAGGGGCCGGGAGCCATCATACCACTGAGCCATGCCGAGTTGTGAATGAACCTCGGAAGAAGTTGCCGTCGCCGACACGACTCCCCTTTGCTAGCCAGGAGACGTGGTGAGGGAGTGTGGATATCTAAACCTAACATCGGACTAGCATGTTGGCGGCGTGGAAGATCGCTTTGGCTTTTCCTTGCCTGACGCCTTTAATTAATCTGCCGGCTCCGAACCTGTCCGGCCCAGGTCTGTCCTAATCTCACAAACGCCTCCCCCCAACCCCCAAGGGTCGCCTCCTTCAAAACCGCCTACTGGTCAGTCCTGCTCTTTCCTTGGCAGCAGCTTCACTCGTTCGTGGTTCGTCTTTCCCCCCAACCCCTCTCAAAGGTGAGGGTCTCGAACAGGACGAGGTGGAGGCCTACACAGCGCTGCTGCCCAGGACGCTGGCGGAGCTGCCCGGAGGCGGCTTGCGACACGGGTCCATCCTGACTGTACAGGACCAATCGCAACACTTCGGCGTGGACGTCATTGTCGTACATACGGTACGGCACGGTATGGTTCTGTTTGACAGCACCGGTATGGTTTTGTCCGCGTGGTTGGTGCGGGTTGCTGGGTTGACGGGAGGGGAGCAGGAGACGCCGCGGGGAGAGTGAGAGGGCGGATTGAAAAAGAATGCGCCAGCGGCGGGAGGGGTAGAGGTTTGGAGCCCGAGTCGAGGGCAGAAATTTTTAAAAAATTGAAAATTAGTTGGAACAATCCTCCTCCACCAGTTGCGTGTTGTGTGTTGCGACTGTAGCTAGGCAGCTGGGGTCGGGGTACGGTGGTGGCGATTGTGTACCTGATGTACCTGGGAGGGGTCCACAAGCTGTTCCCCCGCACTGCCGGGCCTCCACAACCGATTTAAGGTCCGTTAGCGTTTCCGTTGCTCCCATTTTGCCTTAGCAGCACCACTTAGGAACGCACCCCGCCTCTCTTTCTCTCTTTCCCTCATTCACGCTTACACACATACACACATGCATGCACACATACGATGCATTTCTCTCATCGCGGCTCAAGTCATTAAAACACGCATACACACTCTGACTGCGTTCAGGCGGACCTCCGGGAGGAAGACGCGCCCGAAGGCTACCTGCTGGAGGGCGACGTGCCGACAGCCCAGCAGCCACAACAGCAGCAAGCGGAGGCGGCTGTAACTGCGGCTAGTGCTGCGACCGGGGCGGCAGAGGCGGACGCCAAGGAGGCGCCGTCCGCGAAACGGTCCGTACCCCCCTCCCTTACCTCGTGCTCCATGTGTATGCCGGGCTGTTTGCCGGGATCGGCGCGTATACCTCGAAAAAGCAAATACGCGCGCATTTGAAGGGGGCCCGTTGAAGATATATGTGCACTTGGCGCCCGTTGTACATCACGTCGCTACACGCCGCATCCTTTCTGCGCATGTTTTTGTGTTTTACATTTCCAGAATTTAAAATTTCTTTGCAGCAGGCGAAGTTCCTTGAGGTGGCCGTGGCGGTCTAGGCCTGTCTGGATTTTATGCTCTGTGTGTGTTGGGGGGGGGGAGGGGGAGTAACTGTGTATTGTTGAAGGCGGGGGGGGATGAGGATCACTGTCAGGTGATGGCGTTTCCGGCTGGTTGCGCTCCTGGGCGCAGGCGGCATGTGGACGTGAAGGAGGAGGACGGCGTCCTCGTGCTTGATGACGAGGAGGAGGAGCAGCTGGGCGGGAGCGCCGCTGCCGGGGGGGTACCTGAGTCAGCTGCACCGGTGGGTTGACGTGTGGTTGGGTGGGTGGATGGGTGGGTGGGTGGGTGGGTGGGTGGGTGGATGGATATTGGCGGGGGGCCCCTGGGTTGTGAAGCTGTGCTGCCCAAGTGCCGCGTCGGCCGGCATTTGGGTTGGGTTGGGTTGCCCAGGGAAGCCCAGGGAAGTTTTAAGTTTGGGAAAATCTACTAGGGGTCGTAGGGGAAATGCGTGACAGCAGCCAACCGAAGCTGTGTCCTTTGTTTCGGTCTCCCAGGTGCTTGTGCCAGGTATGGTTTGTGGATGCCGGGAATGGTAACAGGGGCTGTTCTCCTGCCCCTCCTCAGCCTCTGCATTCCAGTCGCTGAGAAAAACTGCTGTCTGCGTGGTTTCGTCGCATTCATTCTCGCGCTCAATCGGTTATCGGTTCTGCTCCACACACACGCCGAAACTATACACTAGCAGTAAGGTGGGGGCTTTGCTTGTGGTGGGGGCGATGTGTCCTGATGGGTGGGTGGCGGCTGCAGGGCCACGGGCGGAAGCGGCCGTTGGAGAGCGGCAATGGAGAGGAGGAGAAGGAGGCGGTTGAGCCCGAGACCAAGCGCGCCAAGGTGGAGGCAGCAATAGCTTCGACGGCGCCGGCGCCGGCTGACGACGACGACGACGTCATCCTGATTGACGACGACGACTGATGCGAGAGCGGCCGGCCTTGGTTAGGGACGTTTCTATAAGTTCAGCCAACGAAGGAAGCCCACATTTGCGAGGTGTTCGGGTTTCCTAATCTGGCGATGGCTAACCAACCTCGCCGACATTCTAGTTGCCAGCTGAAACCGCTGCGGGGAACACAAGCCTGCAGCGGTGGACGGGGTATGGGGATGCAGCGGTGGACGGGGTGATGTGTTCGTGAAGTGCGGTTGGTAGGAAAGGAGGAATAGGTGGGTAAGAGTGTGGGGTCGGGGGCGAGCGCGCGGTGGGGATGATATGGGAGCTTGCGAATGCCAGTCCTGTGCTGAGGACGCGGGGTTCTGTTCGTCGGGAACATGGCCAACAGGCAGGCGGTCATGTATCCAAGGGAAGATACATGACGGCCTAGCTGTTGGGCATCGGGTCCTTAATGCTGGATGTAGCCGGCTGGGCAATGGGCGCGACAATACGGTAGGATGTGCGATAGGATGCCGAGGGCAGGGCTTGGACAAGGCCAGCTGGATGGTCGTTAACGGACTGATGTTCCGATTTTTGCTGAAGGAAAAGTTCATTGAGGTAATGATGAGACTAGCGGGGGAGGTGTCATTGTTTGCATGAAGTTCCTACGACCGTAGTCGTTGTGCGCGCTGGACCTGATACGGCTTTCCTGTGGGCTCTTGAACGTTTGTAGAAGTTGTACTGGGTAAATAACAGTGAGCTATGGACAGCCTGTCCCTGGCCTTGAGCCTTTTCTCTGGAAATGCTGTTGTCGTATGGCCCCCGGCTAACTATTACCCAGTGCTAACTTCCAGCCCTGGTCGGATGAAGTTGCCGCACGGGAAGGAAATGAGGGAGAAATATGCGGTGCTGAGTAGCAGGAAACTAAGAGACTCATTATTATTAGCTAGCGACGCTAGGTAACGAGGCCAGATAACGGGATGGCATCCCTTCCTGTGTGCAGATTCCATGCCGTTTCTCAGCTATCTTTGATTTCGTGCCATAGCGACAACTTCCAGAAGGCCGCATCAGTGTGCCACAAGTGATAGATATTTGTAAGACAGCTGCAGGAGTCAGTTCGATAGCTCTAGGCCAGCTCTTACGCTGACTCCAAATGCACTTTAGACCCGGTTCCTGGGCATTACCCTCTTACTGGCTGGATGCAGGCGCCTGCAATGTAGACAGGGACATCGGTCCAATTCTTTCATTCCTAAGGGTGCATTTCCAGTGAGGATTAAGGCCAGGGCCACTTTGTTCCTTATTTCCAAAGGCCAAAAAGGCTCTTTATTCCTAAAAAGTAATATATTACTTAAAAAAAAACACTGATTAGGGCACGGAATTCCTTAATACGAGCTTACCACATAGTTTTGTTCCATAAGGGAACCAAAGGTTGAAAAGGCGAGGTAAGTTTGCCAACAACTTAGCCGTTTGAGCAAGTATCGATGGAGGACAGAGGGTTAATCCCTGGCCTTAATCCGCACTGGAAATGCACCCTAAGTGGAACTTCTGCACCTTTCGTTGATAGGAATTATAGGGAAAATTAGTTTTTTATAGGCCACTCCGCCAAAATGCAAAGCTTTCCGAAATTCCATGAGCTAGCAATTCGTCGCGCATGGCGGTTTGCGCCAACGGACTGCCGTCGGATCTCGTCTTTCGCCATGAAGTCCGACTGCAGATAATTTGTGCACTGTTTTGATGCCTCTGGGTCTGGGGTTTGATTTTTTTCATTGTTTCGTGAACCTATTATTTAGTCTTCAGCAAGGTCCTTGCCTTCCTAAATAGGTCAAGGGCGCCAGTCCACAGCACGTCACCTTTAGCTATCGAGGATTAAGTTATTTTCTCGCCAAGGAAGTCTTCACAATACACGACGGACGCGGAAGCCAATATATACGATCGCCGCATCCCACTGGATCTCAAAACTGCCTTGCTTCCCCTTTCGTGGCCTCATCTGCCTCTTAAAGGCGCCCGAATTCATCCTCAAGGGATAATCGTAGCATCCTGCAAAATTTTGACCAATATTATTTGGGGCAAGAATGGGTCCCGCGTGCGAAACGCCCTGGTGGAGCATGCCCGAGATTTGCACACACTGCGGCGGAGGCGATGTGGAGCCCGAGGGTCGAAGGGTACTGGTGCTCTGCTCAGCCTGCTTCGCTGCTGGGACGCATACGGGCTGCCACGAGGACGTGACTGGCGAGCCGCTGTCGTCAGAAATTACGCATGGGGATGGGTTATACTTTTGCGGCAAGGTAAGCCATGATGGGAAAAAGCGATCTCCATACTTTTGCTGAAAGGTATGTATGCGCCGGACGACAGCTCACTAATTCGTTGCGGACAGCTTATCTTGCACAACCCGGTTTTGGGCGCCCGCTTTCTCTAGGGCCGCGCGTAAAGGCCAAGCTGTGTCCTCCTGAGCAAATATTAAATCCACGTAATTTTATAAACATGATGAATGTCTGTTATATTTATATTAGTTAGTATACCTACCTAGCCGGGTGTGGACAGCGAGGTTCAACTGCGTGGCAAGGCTTCAATCTGCCCTTCGCGCTGGACAATTCTCCGAATTGTGGTATGCGATAAGGACACCTTCGAGCATACTGTGATTGGGAATGAAAATAACAGTATGCTCGAAAATGTCCTTATTGCATACGACAATCAAACCTGATATGGCATATGCTTCCATGATCTGAGTCATAAGCAAATGCGCTCCTTCCTATCCCCCTAACCGGCAACGTGCATCACAGGAGTGCCAGCGGAGCTACGAGGCGCTCGAGGCCGCGACTGGGCGTCGATCTCGCATCCGAGATGAGCCCGAGCAGTACACGTTTGAGCTGGTGCATTATAAGCAGGACGACAGAAGTAGGCACGGGGACGCCCCAGGGATCCCCCGCTGTGTGGTTTCATCCTGTCTGGCTGACCCACCTTTGCAGACCTGTATGGTGATTTTGAAGTCCTGAGTCGATGAATGAGGACGTTGGGGGTGTTTGATAACGTTTTCCATAACAAAAACTCCGCACATTTAAACACATTGGACAATCCAGTAATGTTTATGTTGTGGGGTTCCTACCGTCAGGGGGGACCCACATCACAGATCCGGCACGTACGGCAACATGTTGTACAAATATAACTGTAGCGAGGTCCACCATAACTCCTCTTGCTTTCAGTTTATCTCCAGTTCAGTGCCCCTCTCCCTCTCACACACGTACACACACACTAATAACAACAACACACGCACACACATGCACACGCACACACACACACGCGTACACAGTATCGCGGTGTATTTACCCTTCTTTACCTGTGCGCCTATTACCAGACCAGCAGCTCCTAAACCCCCTTCTTGCCCCCCACCGTTTGATACGCAGCTGTGAGGTCAGCGGTGGAAACGGCCATGCGCATGTTCCGGACCAGCTTCGGTAAGCGCTCTGCACGCGAGTCGCACTCAGCTGAGCTTGCATGGGTGGTAGTATTCTAAAAGAGCTTGGTCGCATTGGGCCCTCGTACAACCAACTAACGACTGCCGTACCCGATCCTGCAGCTCCGCTCATCATGGAGAACGGACGGGACCTGCTCGAGATGGTTTGTACGGCGTACGAGACACCTGACGAGGAGGTGGAAGAGGAAGGTGGCGGCCACAACTTCAGTAAGACGATGTGCCAGGGGGGCCTCGGGTGGAGGGGGCAGGAGGGGGGCAACTGCTTGGAATGGGAGTGGGGTAGGGTTTGGAGTCGGTTACGTGATCTGGGTCAGCGCTTGCATGATGTGGGTCGGCAGTCGGTTGTCGGTTGTTATGGGTCATTAGTCGGGTGCGTCGATTTGCTTCGTTTATTTGGACGATGTGGATCGCCCTTTCGCGATGTGGGTCACCGGCAGCCTTCCGACCTTTTGTCTGTGGAGTTGTGTAGAGATCATCCACGACAAGACGAAGCAATGTATGGTTCCCTCCTACCCCCCCGCCCTATGCCCCCATCAACCCCCACACCACACACAGACAACCCCCCTCATCCCTACCCCTCCCACCTTCCTCCAACCCCGGCCGTCAGGTGCTTTTCGTCTGGCAATCTTGCGAATGGGCGGCACCATCATCACGGCAGCAACGTTAAGGTACGGCATGCCAACTGTACGGTGTTGCCCAGGTGTACGACACGGCAAAGGGTAAATCTCTATCGGAAGGTCCTTCGTTTTCGGGCTTATTATCTTGTAACATTCATAATAACGGCTGCATGAAGACTCTTCTTACGTCCCTCGGGAGGTGGTTAGCCTTAGGGTGCCGACTGTCCACATGACCCGAGGTGTGTGTGTGGGGGGGGGGCGAAGAGGTTCCTTTGCAGACGTTCGTCGAGGTATTGTCTCTGCCGCGAAGGGCCGCAGGACTGTACGGCACTTCTTTGAGCAGCACCTGCAGCACCGACAGCAGCGGAGGGAGAGGCGCTGGGCTGGTGCAGTCCAGTCTGTTGTGTGATTTAGATTCCCCCCACCCTTATGTTGTATGACTTGGGTCCCCCTTCCATCCCGGCGGCTAGAAAGTTCTTCCATGATTTCGCCTATTATTCTGCCTTCTTTGGACTTCTGACTTGCCAGCCAGCCAGTAACTCGTCTCGCAACCTAGCTGGCCCAACGTCGCCGCCAAGACTCTATCCAAGTCATGACTGGTCAGTAAAAATATTCCTGATCCTGTATCTGTCGTCCAATCCTGGTGGGAGTATCCGTCTATCTCTGGCATCCGCTTCACTCGCCAGTGTGGCTCGTCTTACCCCCATGTAAAATAACGAAATTCACTCGTAGCTTGAAATTGTACCGTTGACCACCGTCTATGCGCGGATCCATGCAAAGTAAAGTAATTGCCGTGCTCTAACCCCCGGAAAGATGGGGTGGTAAGGTCCAACTGTGTTCCAACAGCGCCAGTGGTTGGCGGCCTGATGCGGTAGCAATGAACGTAACCGCACCATAAAGTCAACAATCGCTCTGTGGATGGCCCGGTCCGTGATTGGGGCCGCCTGATGAGGTGTGCGATTTCCCGCACCGGTGTGCTGTCGCTTGCGCGAAACGACGTCCCGGCTCCATCGCGCTGACTGACGCGGCGTATGTATGTATGTTGTTACAGGGTGGTTAACTTCGCCAGCGGCCCCCTTTCCCGGGGCAGTCCCTGCTCTCCCCTGCTAGAGGGGCACCCTACTCCGTCACCCCATCCGACTTCAGAATGTATTCGTTGGGTTCGTCAACTCACCACCAGCATCCAACCAAATTTATCGGATCAACGGCGCATCAACTTAGTTCCTGATCAGCTCGCATGTCAATGTAATCACTACCTACACCGTCAACAAGAAGGGGGGCCACCTCACTCGCACTCCGAGGTTTGAACCCGGAAACCTCCGGGAGCAGAAGTCAGGCCTTAACTTCTGCCAGCCGCCTGCCTGCATGTATGTATGTCCACATTCAGTTACACGACCCTTTTTATAACTATATTTCTGCCGTACATTTATCATTGCTCATTGCTCATTTGAGATACGGCTCATGTGTCTCAGTTGCATCCTCTCATAAATCCTGTTTGTCACGTCTGTTTTTGGTTGTTGGTTTGTTCGTTGTTGGTTGTTTCCTCTTGTTTATCGCAGAGTGTTCGGGAACAAGTTCGCCGAGATGCCCTTCGTCTCAACCAGGGAGGGGCACCGACGGTCCGGACATTGCAAGCGGCTGATGAAGGTACGTACGGATGGGAGTACGGAGGGTGAGAGCCGTACAGCACTTATCGATATGGGTTGCAAATAGGTAGATGTTTTGAGTAGATGATTTCTTTAAATAACCTTCTTAATTTATCTCCTCCTCCTCCTCCTCCTCCTCTCACCCACACCCACACCATTGGGTACTCACTTCGTTATCTTCAACGCGCTCCAGATCCATCGCAAAGGGTGCAAGTTTCTTCCCATTGACACCTAAACTCCCAACCGCTAACCGCCAACCGCCCCTCTTCAGGCGGTTGAGGATCTTCTGTTGGCCGGCGGAGTTCACTGTTTGGTCATTCCCTCCATCAACGAGCTGCTACCCATGTGGACAAACAAATTCGGATTTGCGAAAATTGCCACCGATGTGAGATTTGATTTTGGTTGGAAGGTTTTTGGGGGGATTTAGCAGCAGCAAAACCTTGCTAGGTTCGTGAATATGCTTACGTGTGTATTACTACATGTACGACAAGTACGACACGCCTGCTGTTTTTTTCCTCGTCGCTTGGTCCTTGTTCAGCTTGGTCGAGTGACCCTGTACGGCAATCCCGTACCTGACAACTTACATCATACCTGCCAATCCTCTCCCCTTCTCTCTCTCCCCTCTCTGCTTCTACTCTTAGGAGGTCGAGGGGATTGAGGACTGGATCGTCGACACGGACCGGGACACGTGCACGCTCGTAAAAAAACACATCCTGCCGCCAGGTCAGCCGCAGCCGCAGCCGCAGCCGCAGCGGAAGCTGCCGCCCGTCACGACTGCGTCTCAGCCGCAGCAGACGTTACCGGCTCCACCTACCGGTGCTGCCGGTGCTTTGTCCATCAGGCCCGGTCCCGCGGCCCGGGGAGGCGCTCGCGCGTCCGTGAAAAACTCACGGAAGCGAGGTCGGGCGCCAAAAATCGTGCTGTCCAAGTCCCTAAGACGGAGCTACAGCGACTACAGCGACGAGGATGAGTCTGAGGAGGAGAGCTTAAGTGGTAGTGATGGCGACGGGGACGGCGGTGGTAATGGAAAGAGGCGAGGTGGCGGGCACCACCGACCCGGGGGTCGCAGAAGCAGCGGCGGCGGCAGCGGCAGGCATCCCTCGCGTCGCAGTCGCCGCGACTCCGGCAGCGAATCGGATTTTGTACCAGACAAGGAAGAGGAGGAGGAGGAGGAAAAGGAGGGCGGTTCCGGAGCGGACGAGGATTTGGTCCCCGAGGAGTCTCTGGCGGGAGGCTCCGCTGGCGGCAAGTGCGCGCGGGGCGGCAAGCGTGCAGGCGGTGGCGGCGGCCGCAGATCCAAAGGAAAGCCGGCTCCCGATTCCGACGCCGCCGGGGCCTCCACAGCGGCAGCGGACCCTAAGCCCAAACGCACGCGCCGCTCCGGACCCCGGGCGCCCCGGCCCGCAGGCCCGCGGCTGTGGCCGCCCTCAGAGTCCTTGCCGCTGCACCCTGTGTACGGCACGGAGGTGTCAGTGATCCGGATTCCGGAGAATCTGCGGCCTGCGCCGCCGCCGATGCCGCTGGAGGTGGACATGGCTCGTCCAGGCCTTCCGAACGAGCCCTTCGAGCTGTCCATCCACTTGCAGGCCTTCATCGCGAAGAAGGCAGCAAGGGAGGCCGCCAGGGCGGCGGCGCTGGCGGCGGCGGCTGCTGGCGGCAGCGGTGATGCGGCGGCGGCGGCGGCGACAGCGGCTCAGTCTGGCGGCGGCGCTATCGCCGCTGGAGTGTCGGCCACGGGCACGGCCGCAGCGGCAGCGCCGCCCAGCACCGCTGCCATTGCCGGCGCTGCCGCCGCGGCTGCGCCGCCAATTAACCTGACCGCCGTCACGCAACCCACGCCATCGCCGCCGTTGCAGCAGCAGCAGCAGCAAGCGCTGCCGCAGCAACCACCACCACCCGTGCAACAGCAGCTACAGACGGATAAACAAGGTGCGGACAAGAAGCGGCGCAGGAAGCGGGCGCGGCGGAACGAACAAGATGGACAGCAGCCGCCGCGAAGGCACCGGGGACGGCGCCCCGCGAACAGCCCAGCTCAGGAGGCGGCGAGGCAGCGGCGGCTGAAGATCCGGCTGGCGGCGAGGCAGCGGCGGCGGGCGCACCGCGAGCTGATGATGGGCATGATAGTCGCCGGTGAGTTTTAGGGTTTTAGCGTTCGAAACGTTTTAAAGTTTTACAGTTCCGCGTTTTTGCAGCTCGCGGGGCCTTTGGGCTGGGTAGCATGGGAGCTGGGCCTTTACAGGAGTCATGACTGACAGACGGCGTTCGTGTCGAGGGCGCCATGGGGGATCTCGTACCTGGAGAATGGTTTGGGGTAAGGACATAATCGCTATGGCGCGAATGAGATCTGACCTCAAGCTGTCGAAAAAAAGTTCCGTACTTGCTACCCGCGCAGTAGAGTCTGCAGAAGCGGTAGGAGCTCCTGATTCAACAATGATAAGAAGTGTTTTGGATACGAAGACACGCACACACACCTTTTAAAAATCCCGAATGGCCCAGCCCACCAGTAGTACTGCTGCTGAATTTGATATTCAAAATTATGTTGAGCCATGTGTTACTGTTTTTTGACTAAAAACGCACTTACGTCGCAGATATGGTCCGAATGGAGTTGTGTCCCTTGGAGCCGCGGAAGCTGTCTGACCCTCTGTCCATTCTGAGGGCGCCCCGCCAGGAGCAGCAGCAAAACGACCCACGGGACATTGAACTGACCAGGTGGGCGTGTTTCTAGGGTGTCTTTCCATCCTCGAGAAAAGGAGCCGGCACCGAGGCAAGGCGGGAATGGGGGGGGGGAAGAGATGGGGTGTGAGGAAATGTGACAGTGTCGTTGCTACACGGTTGGGGCAGTTAAGATGTTGACGACACCATGCAGTCCGGGACTGTGCACAAAACAAACACTACCACTGTCATGCTAATTAGTCGATTGCTGAGCTCAATTGTTGTTATTGTTACAGGGTGGTTAAGCTCAATTGTTGTTGAATATTCTTTTGCCGGATCGCATCGCCCAACTGTGGGCATCGTCTTGATGCCCTGCTGTTTTTGTTGTTTCTGTTGTTTTGTTGTCGGTGGTGGTGATGATGGTTGTTGTCCGACAGGCTTCGTGAGGAGCACGCGGCGCTTCAGCGCAGTCACCAAGCGCTCGAGCTCCGACTGGCCGCGGCGGAGAGCGCATTGCAGCAGCAGCAGCAGCAGCGGCAGCAGCAGCAGCAGACACTCTTGCTGCCGCCGCCGCCACCGCCGTGGCCTCGGCTTTCGCCCCTGTCGCTGCCTCCTGGACAGCACCCGCCTGCGGAGGTATCGCCGCCGCCGCCCGCCGCAGCAACCACGGCCGCCAGAGACTCGCCGCCGTCGCCATGCTCGCCGCTGGCGGCGGCGCCTGACAACCTCAAGCTCGACAAGGGCAGCGAAGCCTCCGCGATGGCGACGGCGGCGGCGGGGGCGGCAGCGGACATTGCGGGGGGCACGGCCGCCACCCCTCTTGGCCACCCGCTCTTTTCCGGGTTCTGGTCCACGCCAGCCGCCCTGGAGCACCGCCGCCCGCAGGTCCTTTCCCCTTTGCCGCTGTCCCCCGCCTCCCTCCACCCCTATGCGGCCGCTGCCTCAACCCCCTCCCTGGAGCGACCAGATATCACGGGAGGCCGCCGCAGTGGCGGAGCCGCAGGGGCCCTGGAGGCGGCGGCGGCGGCGGCGGGTGCGGCAAAAGCTGCGCATAACGGTTGTGCGATGAATCCGGGAGCGATGATGATGCGGACGCCGTTGATTGTACGAATTGCACGGAGCGGCGACGGCTCCGCCGGCTGCGGCGATGGCAGCGGCGATGGCAGCGGCGACGGTGCCGTTGCCGTTGATGTGGATGATGTCACGAGCAGCAGTGCGAATGGCAACGCGATGAACAAGGGAGGCGGCCATGGCCCCGGCAGGCCGCTTGAATGCGAGGATGGCGGTGGCGGAAATGAAGCGCAGGAAGCGGAGGATGGAGGCGGCGGGCGCAGCGTGGGTGGCACCGCTGAGAAGCGGCGACCGGCAGTTGAGTGTACGGAAAGTCTTGTGACAATGCAAGTTGAGGGCTTCAGGACGTTCGAAGCCCCGGCGGATGGGCCTTCAAGCGTCGTGCCGCTGGACGCGGCGGTTGGCACTTCCGCTGCGGCGGCAATGGCGGCAGCGCCCTTAGCGGCGCCGGCGATGGCGGTGACGGGGATTGTGCGCAGCGGAATTTCGCCGCCATCGGAAGCGCCAGGCTGCAAATCGGCCGCTGCTGCTGCAGACGGTGCCGGCGGCGCCGACCCAGCGCATGCCGCGCGTCTGGTGGATGAGGCACCAACGGCAGGCTTGGATCCAGGCGCCGCCGCTGCGTCATCAGTACGACAGACCTCGTCCGTCACCCTTAACAAGGCTTTCCGTACTCAGCTTGACCTCGTCATCCTGGCGGCGATTGGGGCGGACGACACTCCACCGGATGGGGAGTACGCGCAGCGCCCACCGCGGCCGTTGCCGTCGCCGCCGCCACCGCCGCCGCCGCCGGCAGGCGAAACTGTCGTCCAATCCTCAGTTGAGTTTCGTCCAGCTGAGGTCGCGCCAGGTGGCCTCCAGGAGGACCGTTTTGGAATGAAGACCGGTACGAACGCAGCGGAGGCGGATGACAATGTCTTGGCAGCGGCGGCGAAATGCAACACGGATGATACTGTTGCTGCTGCTACTGCCGCCGTACCGACTGGCTCCGTCCGTATCCACACCTTTTCAATCGCCGCCAATGCCGCCGGTGGCGGAGGCACGGCCGCTGCCTGCGCACCTGGGCCAGGTGACCCCTGCGCCAGAAGCCCCGTCAGCGGCGGCGGCTGCAGACACGGCGACAAGAGTCCGCCGACGACGCCACCGTTTTCCTTGGCGGACCTTTCTCAGCACGTACGTCAGTCTGTTCTGGCGTCAGGCAGACAGCTGTACGGCTCCCCGCCATCCCCCACTCCCGACACTGCCGCCATCGCCATTCCAAACCGTGGGGAGGTCGAGGGCTGTGGCGGTCTTGCTGATAGTGCTGCCGATGGCTGCGTCAACGGTGGAGTCGTACATGGTGGTTGCGGCGGCGGCGGTGGCAGTAGCGCTGGTGGCGGCTGTATTGGTAACATGCAAACGCAAGTCTTGCCTATTACGACGCTATCTCAAACTGCATTGCGCCTGACGACCGACACGCCACACCCGTGGGGGGTCCGGCGACAGCTGGTAGGTCTTATGACTGATCGCACCGCCGCCGCCGCCGTCGCCACGTCGCCGCCACGGCGACACGGCGGCGCCAGCGCGATTGACGACCAAATGGAGCCGCCGCCTCCTTTTGACGGTCCGCCCGTCTCAGCCCCACTCAGCCACAACAGCCTCGCTTCCAGCAGCTGCGGCAGCAGCAGCAGCGGGGCAGATGACGGCAGTAGCATTGTCAGTCGGAGCCGCCCACGGAAGCGACGACTCGTCGTGACGGCGTCAAACGCGGCTGCCGGTGCTGCCCCGGTCTCGAAAAAACGGATCGGAAGCAGCAGCAGCAGCAGCAGCCTCAGCAGTGGCGCCGGCGGCGGCGGTGAAAGACCCTCCAGCTGCTATCCCCCGGGGGCTGCAGCGCAAAGGGAGACGTCCGCAACAACTCCAAATGTCAGAAGCGCATGCGAGGCGGAGGGAACGTATGGCACAGCGGCGGCAAGTCGAGGCTGCGGCCTGAGCTGCCAGAATGGCTCTGTCTTCGTTGGCTCTACAGCAGATTGCGCGCTGGATGCCGTCGAGGCGGCGGGTGTGGGGCAACTGACGGCCATGGCGGCGGCAGGGACGACCGGCTGCTTCCCCACCGCTGCCGTATCTTCTCCCAATGCCGACGGATCCCGACCGCCGCGGCCACCTGCCCAGCAGCAGCCACAGAGCCAACACCAACAGCAGCAAGGGCCGACGGAGGGAGAGCTGTCCACGTCGTCGTCAGTCGTAGCGCCCCTCGCGGGCGCAACGGATCTGGAACACGGACGGGCGCCGGCGGCGGCGGCGGCGGCGGCGGCGGCAGTGGGGCCAGCGGATGCAATGACGGCGGCAGCGGACCATAACGCCACAGATTGCATTGCGTCGCCGGCATCCCTTCGTCGCTTCGAGTTGTCATGTCTGTACCCGCTACTACACCACGTCGTTGCCGTACTTCTGGCGGACACGCCATCGCCGTCGCAACGGCGGAAGAGTCCCCACTTTCAGGATGGCCTCTCGACTGCACGGCGGAGGCGGCGGCAGGGCGCCGCCGGCAGCCCCTTGGGAGAGGGCGGCGACCTAGGCCCGGAAGCTTTGATGGTTGCGGCCGTAGCGGCGGGTAGCACTGCCGATGCGGAAGCGGACGGGCTCGGTGGCTGCGGCGGCGGCGGCGGTGGCGATGGATTAGCGACAACGCGGCCGGCATTAATGGCGGCGTTTGAGGCCTGCGCCACGGCAGCGGAAGTAGTCTGCGGCGCGGCGGAGGAAGCGGAGGCGATGGCGGCGGGAGCGTCGACAGGTACCTCTGCAGCTGCAGCTGCTCAGGCGTTTACTCCGGGGATGGCGGACGGGTCCCTGAATGCTGTCCCATTAGGGTCGGCAGCAGCGGCCGCGACCTTGCTAGCGCCTGTAAACGCGCATACGCCACTCCTACTTCAACTGGAACTGGCGGGCACCGCTGCGGCTGCTGCTGCCGGTGCTGTTGCGGAGGACGTTGACTGCTTTCCGGTTCCAGAGCCCGTCATTGGGACGCCAGACGCGGGCGGTTTTGAGGGCAGCACCGTCGCCGCCGCCGCCGCCGTTGCTGGCGGCGGCGTGGCAGGGGCTCCGGCGCCGCCGATGCCTTCAAGCTCTGGCCGCCTCGCTATTGTATCTAGTCCCGCGACAGGACCTTCTTCCGGGTCCCGGGCAACGAGGTCGCCGGGGCTGAGGCCCACGATGGCCGTTGCTCATGGCGGCGGTGGCAGCACCGGCTGCGCCACTGTTGACGTTCTGTACGGCAGCCCCGCGTTACCCAAGCATGGCGGACGGCTTGTAATGCTTGCTGCACTATCCGGCGCTGGTGGTGGCAGCATGCGGGAAGCCTCTGCTGTACGGCACGTCGTAGACCCGTACGATGCGGTAATAGCTGATGAGGGCGCTGTGACCGTGGCGGATGACGGCGGTGGAGTTGACAAGCCCCGCACGTCAACTGGTGCAGCAGTTGCCGCAACATCTGCCGCCGTCGCCGCCGCCGCCGCCATTGACATCGTCGGCGGCCGCACTAGCCCAACCGTTTCCGCAAACGGTAGCGCTGGGGCCGCGGGGCGGAGGACTTACAGCGGCAGCCCTTCCGACGCCACGACGACGGCCGGATTGCTGTTCCGGAAGAAGCGACTCACCCGACGGAAGAAAACCGCAGTAGACCTCTTCGGGGAGGACATCGTCCTCAGCGCCAGTGCGCCCTCAGACTCACCGGACTCCACACCGGGGAGCTCTTCAGTGCCGCCGCCGACACCCAACAGCGGCGGCAGAGAAGAACAACAAGCTGACGGCGGCGGGACTAAAGCTTGCTGCAGGACAATAGCCCGGTCCGCCGCCGCCGGGGAGGGCGCCACGACCGCCGCGATGCCGGCACTGAAGGCGGCCGCAGCCCGTGGCCTGGAGTTCGGGCCCGCTGCTGTGGCCGGGGATGAGAAGGCTGAAGGCGCCGCTACTGTGATTGCTGTCACCGGCGTCGCTGGCGGCGCACCTGCCGCTGGACAGGGCTTGGATAGCGGCGGCAGCGGCGGCGGAGCTGCCAGCAGTAGTACGGCACCTGACAAAGACCCGACGGGTTCAACTTTGGTCATCGCAACGATTCTCCCGTCGGGAAAGCCTGCCGTACGGACGGTGAGTACCGTTGCCGCCGGATGTAGTTCCAATGCCGTTGGTATCGTCGTACAGACGCCGGCGCCGGGGGCCCATCCCTGTACGGCAGGCGCAACTCCCGTTGCCACCGGCGGCACCGCCGCTGCCACAAGACCAGACGACCTGAAGACCACGACGAGCGCAGCGGAAGGTCCCGCCTCCGCCTCCGCCGGCGCTGTCGCTGCACGGTCGCCGCCGCACCCGTCAGGGGTTCCGACCGCAGGCCAATACAATGCCACTGGGTGTCGGGTTCCCGACGGCGGCGGCGGCGGCTCCAACGGTGGGGGTTCGTGTAATGGCGGCATCGGCGCTGAGAATGCGGCCTCAGAGGAGGCGTTGTTGGACTGGCTGGTGACGGGGACTCCGCCAGAGGAGGATATTCTGTTCGGCGTGACGGAAGGCAGGGAGGGTGGTGGTGGCCGGGTCGCCGGCGGCCGCGGCCGCGGCCGCGGCCGGGCTCGGGGCGGGGCCCGGGACCGCAGCGGCGGGGTGTTGGATAGTCCTGTGAGCAGCAGCGCCTACCTTGACGAACCGCTGCGGTCGCTGTTCCACACCATCGATGCAGACATGGCGGCCGAGCGGTACGAAGAGATTGCCACGTCAGCATTTGGCGGCAGCGCCGCCGCAACAACGGCGGCGGGGGGCCCGGCAGCAGACGGCGGCGGCAGCGAGCTGGCTAGCCAAGGCAGCCTGTACGGTCAGGATCAACAGCTTCAGGTTCGTCGGCGCCGGTGCCGCCGGCAGATACCCGTACAGGAGCATGCGCTACCATCGCAGCCGATGTCGCAGGTAGCACAGCAGCAGCAGCAGCAGCAGCTTTCGCCTTTACGTTCAGCACCCCAGGCCGTCTCACGGGCTATCAACGGCCCAGACCCGCAGGGAGCTGGCGTCCAGGCGGCCGACGCGGCTGCTACTGGCGCGGCACTCGGGGCTCTCGACAGCCTGGCGGAGTTCTGCGGCCGGGTGGGAAGCGAGGGACCCACCAGCGAGGATGTGGGACTCGCCAGACAGGGCGTGTCGGCGCTCGTGGATATGCTGGTGCAGGACTGATCTAGGAGGGAATGGCAGCCAGTGCTGATAATGGTCATATAAATATATTGGATGCGGGATGATGAGGGGAGAGGTGACACGAGATGTTGGCTTCGTGGAGAGGGTGCGGTATTATATTTTGGGGTGAAACCGGCGCATGGAGGTAGACTAAGGAGATTGTGATGAGAGGCGGAGCGGCCCCCGATGTTGCAAGTGGCTGCTGTCAATGCGTCTGGAAGAATGGAAGAAAGCAGAAAAGCGATAATTGGGTCTCCTTGATTTGGAATGTGTTGAGTTCTGGAGCGCTCTGCTTCCCGGAGGCTGCGTGCTCTTCGTAAGTAGGAGGGACGCACAGTTGGCGATTTGGGGTTTGGCTGCCATAAGGGGGGGGTTAAGCCACGTTTGAGTGAAAGAGTGGTACGGCATATGAGATGCGAAAGCGATCTCTATGGGTTTTCCGATGACTTGCGGAGGCGGCCTTCGATCTCCGCAGTCAGTCATTCTCCTGAGCTGCAATATAGCCTTAGACAATATTGATGAGAGGTTTTTCTTAATCTAAATTTCAGTATGGATCTTATCGGGAGCTGTGACCGACCCACAATTGGACCGCACGCGTTTGAACGTGTGAAATACATTATGTCCTATAGCCGTCGCGGCTTGCTGTACAGTTGTTCGAGATCCCGGATATGACAGAGGAAGGCGGAACAGGGGCTGCCAAGGGCCGTACACCACTGTAGACAGACAAGATAGCAGGAGCGGCCCCCCCCTGGCGGCCCATAGCTCAGGCGAGGCCTAGGTTGCGCGTGGTTTCCATTGCGGGATCATCTTACAGCTGGGTCTATAGCTGCACCATGTGTCCGCCTTCCAGCGACCGTGGGCCTCTTCAGGCGCCAATCGGACCGCTGCTGCGCTGCTCCCTTGATGCGCATGGGGTGCGGCATGATTCCGTCCTTGATACCCACGGTGCTGCACATGGCTGCGAGTTTCTCCCGGAAAGAGGTATAGCTGAGGCTGCAGATTGGTGATTGAACAGAGCCGGTCCTCTGCTGCAGCTGGTGGCCTTGCTGTGTCGCCTTTACCCTGTTTGCGCAGCAGCGGACACACATCCTCCACGGGCGCGGGGGAGCTGGGGACACGGGCGCAGTAACCAAGCGACAGCAGCCTCTCTCTCCCTGTCAAGCCCACTGGGCAAGCCACGGCCTCTACATGCGCGATCCGCACGGTCTGCCCTTTGCCCTCCTGGTCCGTTTTGGACCTGGGCAGTGTAATGGCCATGTGAGTGTCGTGCAGGGCGAGCGAGTAGATCATGCTTCATGGATATTTGGGCTAGATCGTTGAATCTCAGACCTGAGGTTCGCGGGTTTCCTAGGAAACCCGCGAACATGACCGCGATGGCCGCTACCATCATCCGGTCTGGCAGTGATGCATTCGGCCAAGCAAAGTGCGCAGCCAGCATGCGGACGTCCTCTGGTTGCATGCTTTCCCTTTGCAACTTCTTTCCTATTGCAGTGTGCGCCTGATTGGGTTCCGCACAAGGTAGTATGCAGGGTGCTCTGTGGGGGAGAGGAGGCTGCGAAAAAGTACTGAGAAGAAATACCGCTATGGCTCCTTGTACTGGAGCATTAAGTTGGGGCATGTAAGGGCACGAGGCCTAGTAGTATCTGTGCGCATGCCTATTACTCCTGTGAAAGCCGGGGGGGGCCATAAGGGTCAGGGGCCGCAGCGATCCGGCACGGGGTAGTTGTTGATATTGTTACAGGGTGGTTAAACTTCACAAGTGGCATCCTTCCCGAGGCAATTCCCTGCTCTCCCCTGCTAGAGGGGCACCCTAATCCATTCAACCCATCCGACTTATGAGTGTACCCTTTGAGTTTGGCAACTCACCACCAGCATCCAACCAAATCTAGCGGATCAACGGCGCGTCAACTTACTTCCTGGTCAGCTCGCAAGTTGATTTGGGTAGTTGTTTGGAAGTCAACAAGGTGTTGGCAAATGACAGCCAGTTAGCTGCACCTTTTGGACCTCGTTTACCGTAGACCCTGGCAGGAAAAGGTCATACGCCTTGCCCAGCTCCCTTAGCCCTTAGCCATGGTCCTGAGTCAGGTAGGGCCACCAGTAGCGCGTCGGCCAGAGGGGGACAACCAGGCAGATGTACACCTTGCACAGTTCTGCGTGCCCCAGGATGTTTAGGTGGCAAACTGAAAGGCGGGTTGCCCAGTACTTCCTTTCCCAGTGGAACCGAAACGTTACGTCGCCAATCGCCAACCATTCGGCGCCCTGCTCCACTAGAAGGCAAACGCTCCCGGGACTTTAGCTTGTCAAATGCAAAGATTAGCAAAGGGCCTGCCTTACTAAACTTAACCCGAAAACCCCGAAATCTTGATGTCACCTGAAAACCTTTTATAAGATAAATGTGGCTAGCTCCGGGCGGCAGGGGGCCGTGAGCAAGCCCCTCACCCTCTATGCCCGGTTCCACGAACAGCCTACAAGGCGTGTGCAAACCCGCGAACAATGTACGAGGCGTGCGGACGCCTAGGCTCTCCAACTCCAAAACGGATGAAGTAGGTTGAAAATATGGTTTATTGTTTCGGATCCCGGATCGGACGGACCAGTATGGCAGTGGAATCCATTGCCGTGCTGTGCAAAGTAGGTTGGATAGCTGTTGGCTCAAAATCTCAGAACTGGACTGGACGGTTTTGCCCGAGGAATCTGTTCGTGTGCAATGTCAAGTAGGTTCCCAGAGTGTTCAACCTACTTGGCTGTTGGTTCAATTTTTCGGATCCGGTACGGTTTTGCCCAAGGAATCCCTTTCCGTGCTGTGTGCTATACTTTGAATAGCTCTTGGTTCGTATTTTCGGACCCTACCAAGGATTCCATCCAAGTGACACAAAGACTGACTAGATAACGGTAGTAGATCTAGAGCTTCCAATTAAAGCAGACAACAAAATCCTAAATCCAGTCAACAGAATGACCCGTGCTTTGGCCAAAGCATTCAAATTCCTAGATAGAGTCCACTTTTGTTTCAAGGCATTGACAGCTTTTCATCAACCGCCCCTTTCGGTGCTGGAATCCTGTGAACGGTCACCGCCCGCGTTTCTCTTGGTGCTGGACTACCAATAGTACTGTTCGGTTTCACACACAAGCTCGGTTTCAGTAGACCCCATTACAGGGCCGCCACCCATAGCGGTTCTGGGTGTCGAGATGTGTAGGCCCACTACAAGGGAAACCAGTAACAGGCCAGTATAAAACTCCTATGGGGCCCCACGGTAGGTAGGTGGTAGTGGTGCACCACCCCCACGCGGCAGGGGGTGGTGGTGGTGATAGGTTAATAATGCTGCGCCATTATAAGGTTCTGGAATTGCAGTTCGGTCATTTAGTGCCAGGTTACAGAGGTGACAGAGTGACAGATTTTGAGACATTATGCGCATGTGTTGTATTCCGCTTCTTATAAATTGGTCTGAGTATACCCAAACAGCACGTCAATTATTATGCCAGCAAATCCTGACAGCTACCACAGCTAGATATGTTATTATTCTCCATAGACTTAACCAGCAGAGGACCATCAGCAGGTTAACTAAAACGTGTATCTCACAGTTATTAAACCAGTACTGGTAAATACATAATCAAAGACATGCTATAAACTAACGTGCTGTAATAATAAGGGTGTAGTAACCGGCACACCGTACAGCACTAAACGCGTCCACCAGCATCTCGAGAGGCCTTTTCAGCGGCCAGCTACTACAGGAGGGACACATTTCCAAAACATTTATACTCTAAGCAAGATGTATTCATCAGCATACAATTAGGAGTGAATGACCTTGCAGTGCGTGTACGCTTCCAAACCACAAAGCAACACTCTACATTTGCAGCTGCCAACCTATTTTTTTCACCATTATTGCAAGCACGCAATACATGATGTGCCCCAGCTATGGTTGAGCACTCTGACTGTGGTAATCACTTTCTCCTGCTGTAGGCTGAGGCGATGTATTGCCACATTAAACGCGAACATAAAGACAGAACTTTGGATTGTTGGTTATAGGTGTTATAGGCCATACATTATGCTTAATCCAGCCAGTTGTACTGAATCCGCGGCAAAGGGGATCTCTTTTGCAATCAGCCGCAGGGTTATTGCTCCACTTGATGTCATCGCCAGAATGGTCATATCCCAGGTACGACATGAAACCATCATATGAAGGGCATCCTACATTGACATCACACAACCCAGCAAAATAGTTTGGTTAGAAGGAATAGTATGTTATAAGTTACAAGCTACAAATTTCTCACACACACAGTCCGATGATTTGTAAGACCAACTTCTTGGTGTAGGTGAAACAAGCAGCAGGAATTATGATGTGTGAAACAGGGGGGTGTATCTTCGCCCGTGGCAGCTACCCTGCGAAACCCTGCCTTCCCCGGTATTTCGGAGCACCCTCATCCAGTCACCCTAGTCAACTTCTCAGTGGATCGCTCAGGTTCCGCACCCACCACCAGCATCCAACGGAATCTGCCGGGTCGATAGCGGCGCAACTCCGTTCCTGGTCGGCTCGCAGGTTAACTTTATCCCAGGTCACCACCGTCCATCAACTAGGGGCGCATTGCCTTCCACCAACGGAAGGACTTTGACCCTAACGGGTATCGATCCCAGGATCTCCCGGGGGCAATGGTCGCGCCCTACCAGTGGTGCCAAACCAAGGAATTATGTTGACATACAAATAGAGATGGTATGTGGAATTAATGCTCTAAATATTGATGGCTGATTGTTAATGCATTAACAATATCCTATAGAAACATATGCCTTAACTGATATAATACTTGCCTGCGCGAATGTACAGACAATGGTTTGGATTGTCTGACTTCATGGTTGTAGGAAGTACAGTATGCTTGAGAAAGCCATCTGTGCTGAATCCACGGCACGTGACATCAGCATCGCATTCTGCAGTGAGATTGCTGGCCCATCGGATGTTGTCACCTGGATGGTCCAGGCCCTGATGTACCGTATAGCCAGCATATTGAGGACATTCTGCAAGGAAAGATGAAGTATGAAGCAACCGAATGAACGGGGCCTGAATAAATGCAGTGGCATGGCAATTACCATGATGTGTGTTTTAAGGCATAAAAAATATTCATGGACAAAATCAATTATAAATCAATTAACTGGATCAATTAACATGAAGGCGGCTTAAGAATATATATTAGAAGAATATATATTAGAAGAATATATATTAGAAGAATATATATTAGAAGAATATATATTAGAAGAATATATATTAGAAGAATATATATTAGAAGAATATATATAAGAATGCTTTAGAGTTATAAAAACGCTCATAGAACATGGAGAAGGTGCCGTCTGGCAGATATACGACTTAGAACTGCTCGGGGAACGACTTGGTCATGGACGGGTTTTCCAGTGTAGTAGCCGGTACACTGTACCGCACACATAACAACTACAAATACGCGCGAAAGCGCGTCTACCAGCATTCGAGAAGCCTTTTAGCGGCCAGCTACTACATCCAGTCATGGATCCGGTCGTATGTGTGGTCATGATCCGGTCATGACTCGTCCCAAAGTCATAGACCCTGTCATGGAACAGTTCATAGCTTGCGTAAGCCAAGTGCGGGGTATGACAGGTGAGGTCCATGGAATATCTGCGATTCATGTTGTCAGTATACGAAAAAGTGGATCCTAATATGACCGCGGTCATAAAGTTGGTCATAATCCAACACATTCACCACCATCACACTTAATATTTACATGTTACCTCCATGCAGTATCCTAAGTTTCCAAGTCCATCAATCCTCGACCATCCACTCCATCGGGGCTAGAGATTTGAAGCGTGTGAATTCACACTGTGACAGGTCCACAGGGCTTACAGTCATTTCACATCCCATGGAGGTTGACAAGCAACAAATGAAGGTATGTGGCGCATGGAGGTTGACAAGCAACAAATGAAGGTATGTGGCAAAAACTAACAAAACCATAACCTCAGATAAGAATTCTTAAAAGCACTAAAGAATTTATTAAGAATCCACCAGGAATCCACCAAGAACACCCCCCTAAGAACGACCTAAGAATTGATAAGAACACTTAAGAAGTCTTAAGAACGGCTAAGTACGCTAGGCAAAGAACCATTAAGAATAGCCTTAAACAGATAAGAGCAGGCAAAGAATTCTTGGGAATGCATAAGACTGCTGCTGAGCCCTAAAAAACACTAAAGAAAGGTAAGAACGGTTCAAAGATAAATGGAGGTCATCTTAGAACATCTTTATATATGGTAATTGTAACACAGCAAAGGCGTAACCCGGGATGCTCAGATTGGCATTTGCGTCGTTACATTGCCCCCCACTTAGCAATGGACGTCCTCGGCCATTATTTCGAGCACAGGAGCCATCCCACCTCGCGCCAGTGCGCTGGTTTATCCATTACACCATGAAATCGCCAATTTGCGACTTGCTGGTTGCCAGAATCGAACCGCCG